CATTTTGTAAAGTAAATCATTGTGTAAAGAAATCATATACATGCAGATTTCTGTGATTGTTTGTGATAATTGTTTTTATGAAAATATTGTTTATGGCACAAATTAAAGCTCAAAACATAGCCTTTTACTAATGAATGAGACGCAGCCAGTGTGACTACAAGACCAAGTAATCAATATGTTGCTTTTAATTATGTGACAACAAAGATAAACAATATAGTGTAAACTGTAAATTTATAGGAGCAAGCAATTGTATATATAAGATTAGTTCCCCAAACTTAATCCTTTGGTTTTGCTTGTTGTTTTCTCAAGAAAATGAAAAACCGTCTTCAAACTATCATATTTTTCCAAGATAAGAAAATGAAAAACCCTCTTCAAACTATCCCAATTCAGAGAGAAAAACCTCTTCAAACTATCCGAAATCAACATCCCATCTTCCTTTTCTATCTCTAAAAATTAGTTAGGGCCTCTTCCATCTCTCTAAAAAACGCCTATTCCATTAGGGTTTTGAAGCCCATAACCTATTTCTTCTTCCTTCTTCTTCTCTCTATAAACCCTTATGGCTATGAGCTCAACCGCATTTTCTTCTCTTCCTTCTAGCTTCTTATCTCTTCTCTTCCTTCTTCCTTCTTCCCTCTGTAAACTGTAAACACAAATGTGAAACCCAAATTTCTACGAGCCTCTTTTAAATTAAAGAAATTTATAAAACTTTAACCATAGTTATGGAATCACCATACCATAGTTAAATCAATGTAATGAGAAAACAAAAATCGTGTATTTTTTTTGGCACCTGCTAAGTACGTGTGATGATTAAGTATTTAATAATAAATTTATATATTATATTTGTCACCATACCATAGTTAAAGTATTTTAATGAATAAATTTATATAGTATATTTGTTTTTGTATGTAATAAGTAGGTTTGATGTTTCTTAAAGTATTTAACTGGTAAATTCATATGGTATATTTTTTTTGGTATATATCAGTTAATTATATATTTAATATTGGATGATTGGATGAGAGTTACGAGGCATTTAAATTAATTGACCTAATTATATGGGAAATGACTTTATGATACCCTCCTACACTATATGCGGGACCCCAAATAATCACACCATTAAGTTTGACACAGATCTCTAAAAAAAATCAAGTCCCACACCCATGTGATAACTTTTTTAGAGATCTGTACCAAATTTAATGGTGATCATTTGGGGTCCTACACACATGGGTGTGGGAGGGTCTCATATGATCATTATTCTAATTATATTAGTCTAGTAAAGTTTTTATAGATGAATTAGTTATTGATGGCTTTAACATAATTTTTATTTTTTAGAATTTTAAAATTTCTAATATTATAAATTTATCCGATTTTTTGAGTCTGATCCGATATATTAACAATATCTTTGTATGAAATATTTTTACCGATCCGTATTTTTTACTTGATTTTTTAAATAAAAATAATTTATTTTTAATTTTATGGTGAGCCAATTTATTTACGGTCCCGACTCATTAACTATGGTCAGGACCAGGTCGATGTCGACCAACCCAACCTGTTTACAGATCTAAATCGAATCTTACTTGGACTTACAGAGTGAGAGACAGAGGCTACGTGGCTCACGAATTTCACACGTTATGAAAACGCGGTTGGTCCGTCGTTTTGCCATTATAGATGGTATAGATCTGATGCTGGTCCCGCAAGCCATTCTATAGTCCATATGCACCTCGTTTCCCACGTTTTGAGAACGCGGTTGGTCCGCCGTTTTGCCGACAGCGGCAACTGCAACTATGCAAAAGTTTTCCACGTCTCTTTCTTGGTGACCCGTAGCCCTTTATTACCGTAGGAACATATTATGCATTCAGTCCTTAGACCAAAGGAAAAAGTTTCTATAATAAAGTAGACTAATAATCACGGAGACCCTCCAACACTTATGTGTATAGGATCACAACTAATTATCATTAAATTTGACATAGATATTTAGAAAAGTTTAATTTCACTCACACTCATTTGATAACTTTCTTAAATATCTATGACAAATTAATGATGATTATTTGGGATCCTACACACATGGGTATGGGAGGGTCTCATAGATCATTACTCAATAAAGTAATAATCAACATCGCTCATTTTATTTGATTAGTATAGATCTAATACTATCTTAAAAAATATGTTATTTTCTGACATTATTTTAAAAGACGTGTCAAATATACATCATCCAATATATGATACGTGCAACTTCACTTCTACAATTAACAACATGATTATAGATAATGAGACCATTTACAATTGGTACAAGGATGCCACATTTACTTGTAAACATCTTATATGAAATTTGACAGCTTGTGTGCTTAACAAAATTTGAGGATTTTTTTTTGAAGTTTCACATCCAATAATTCAGTTTAATTATGCCCGCCTGCCTCATACCAAAAAAATAAATAGTCTTATTGTATACTTTTCTTAAACATTTCCCTAAACTTAAATCCCTTCTGAGGACATTTTTAGGACCCCATATTTTTGGGTTGCAACCTATTCCACCTAGCGAGTTCCCTCCCAAAAAAAAAATTATATATATTTACAAAAGAGAGAGAGTGATCGTGCGTTGAAATAAGAAAGAAAGCATTCAAATTTTGGACCAAAATATTTAAAAACTAAAAAATCTTTTTTGAAGAAATATCATATTAGGTGCCAAAACCCCTTACAAAATTCACCACCGAAAATATCTCTAAAGATGCTCAAGTTGCCTATGTTCATGGATGGAAAGCTGAACACGTAACGTCTAGAGGACCCAACCAGCTAACACGAGCTTGTTCTCCGGGGTCAAGTTGAGAAATTTGGATATCACCCAATGATTTTTTTTTAAGTGTTGACCCTTTAAATGATATTTCCCCTTCTCTAAAATACTAATCCCTGATTATAAAGTAGATCCAAAAGGTTCATATTAAATAATAATAATAAATAAATCCTCTATTCCTAAATGAATAAGTGTATAATATGCTACGACGAGAGCACAAAACGGCACAATCATTGAATGTTCCTGCCTAGAAAGTCGGGGATTATCAATAAATCGGCTCATCATGAAATCGGAAACTAACGGTTTTTATTTTAAACTGTTGTACTCGTGTCATTTTTGCCGGACCGAACTTGTCTACAGTCGGACCCATGTTGATAAGAAAACACCTACCAGACCGAACTTCTCAATCGCCGCACCGTACATGTAAACTACCGGAGCGACTCTATGATCGCCAAACCCCTTTTTGATTAGTAACTTCTATTGTCAGACCGCCATTGTGATCTACCGGACCGAAGCTGCACACTACCGGACCGCCCATATAACATGTAGGATCGCTCATGGAAAATGAGGAGAGAGAGGCGTGGGTAGGGTAAAAAGAAAAGGGAAGGTTGTTTAGTCTTTTTTTTTACTTTATTTTATTTTGGGAAACCTTTCTATGTTTCCCCTACAACATAGAAGTTCTATCCTCCACTTTATCCAACTGTCCATTTTTTAATGGAGGGCTAAGATCACCCCAATCATAATGTTACGTCTCTACACTATTTTATTTTTAATTTTTTTTTATAAACTATTTTGATACCAAAGTTTGGACGTCCATTCCTCTATTAAACTCGCACTAGCGAAAATTATAAAAACAATATTTTTAATAAAATAAAATGACCAAAACACCTCTGAAAGTTTCAATTGGTATTTTGATCATTATATTTTTTCGAAAAAAAAAAATTAATATGTTTTATAGGTGCACCCTAATGAGAAGATGGCATTTACCAAATTTCACATTCATACAATTTGTATGAAAAAACTAAAACTATATTACTTTGAGACATCAGATCTGAGATCAAACGATGAGTGGCTCTCTTGATCAAAATTGAATGGCTGGATGATAGGGGGACGATAGAATTTCTATGATGTAGATGAAGCATAAAAACCTTCCCTTCTATTATTGTTCACAATTTTTGTAATTGTTCACAATTTTTGTAATTGTTCACAGTTTCTATAATTGTTCACAATTTCTATAACTGTGATTTACAATGGTGGATTTATACAAGAATTTACCTGGCAGATTTATACATGAATTTACCGTTTCGATAACTGTTTACAATTTCTTCACAGTTTCTATAATTGTGATTTACAATGGCGGATTTATACATGAATTTACAGTTTTATAGATAGATGAATGTACAGTTTCTATAACTGTTCACAATGAGGAGTAATGCTTTCATAGTTTCTATAACTGTTCACAGTTTCTATAATTGTGATTTACAATGGCGGATTTATACATAAATTTACAGTTTTATAGATAGATGAATGTACAGTTTCTATAACTGTTCACAATGAGGAGTAATGCTTTCTTAGTTTCTATAACTGTTCACAGTTTCTATAATTGTGATTTACAATGGCGGATTTATACATAAATTTACAGTTTTATAGATAGATGAATGTACAGTTTCTATAACTGTTCACAATGAGGAGTAATGCTTTCACCCCATATATATCACTCAGTATAAATATGACCTCCCTATAAATATAAATTTCAAATATTCAATGTGATATATCTCTAAATCATAAGATGATTATCGATTCTATTCATCAAGATAAGTATTAGGTAGGTGAATTTTCATCTTTCTAGAAAGAAATTGTCAACCCCACACTTGCTAACTATGGTCTACCCAAAACCAACAGTAGAGAACCAGAGAAAGTTTTGGGAGAACAGAAATAAAAATGGAAATTTCATAAAACTGAAAAAAGAAATTGACCTCTCCCAAAATAAAATAAAATAAACAGATTATATTTAAAGGAAAGTTTTCTTGAAACGATTTTTTCAAATTTTGAAAAAATCTCGATCAAATCTGGGACTTTCTGACTGTGGTCCTCCTACCTATGAAATTTTAATGAGAGAAAAGTGAAACAGGCTGTTACGTTACACGTCATGATCTCTTCCAATCCATTGCATCTCTCTCTTATTTATATGTGAAGGATTGTTGAATTATACTCCATGCGTGAAGAAAGAGTTGTTGAGAGAAAGATGGAAGGAGAGCATAGACACACAGTGTTAGCCAAGTTCAAGGAGAATATTGATCTCCCAGTGATATTGGGTGAGTTGCAGGAGCTGGTCTCAAAGCTTGACTTTGTGAAATCATATGAATGGTAATTCCTCACCTTCCTTACAATGCCTTTACATCATTGATAAACAGTGGAGGATCCATTCCTCAACAATTTCTCCCCGGGCACAGAGAGGGCAAGCTTTCTATATTTTCCCTACTGTATAAAAGTTATATACTTTATTTTATCAAACCGTTCGTTTTAAATGGCCAGCAGAGATGGCTCCAATCACAATATCATAAAAACATTTCTCCCGTGGCATATATATATATATATATATTAAAGTAATCATCCTATGAGACCTTTCCACACCCATGTATGTAGGACTTCAAAGAATCATTATTAAATTTGACACAAATCTTTAAAAAAGTTATCATATGGGTGAGACTTGACTTTTCTAGAGATTTGTGTCAAATTTAATGATGATCTTTTAGAGACTTGATTTTT